CTCGGTTCTTACAAAATAGTATAGCTGGTCGGCTATACATTATTTTTTAATTTTTTTAAAAAATAGTTTAGTTGCGCGGCTAGACCTTTTATGGGTTGTAATTATGTGATTGTAACCTACCAATAATGGGTGGTGAATGTTTGTCTATCCCCGTAGCCTATAAATAGTAGGTATCAAAGATGAATGATATACAAGTTCGTAGAACAAATTCGTTGTGTTTCTTTTTCTCTTATTGCTCTCTACAATTTCCCTTAATTTTATAACAATTTTATATATTTTAAATAAAAACAAAAACAAAAACAAAAACACCTTTCCCAACGAAATGTCGTAGGCACATGTATATGCCGGCAAAATTTGCCAGATTAGACCTCTCCCGACGAAAGTTACCTGTGCCAACGAACTTTCGTTTGGAGAGGTCTAATACGGCAAATTTTGTTGGGATAGATATGTGCCGACGACATTTCGTTGGGAGAGATTTTTAAATAAATATAAACTTAGTATGTTTAGGTTAATAAATTATTTTTAATTTTAGTTTTAGTAATTAAATAATATCTTTTGCCTTATTTAATTAGTTAAATTAGTAATTATATTTTAATTATTATTTGTGAATAATTAGTATTAAATATTTTAATTAACTTCATGAATTATATTACTTAATAAATAGTAATTAATTTTTTTTTTCTTTAATAAAAATATTTAAATACTAATTATTAACTAAGTAAATAATAACTAAAACATAACTAAGTAATTAAAAAAGAGAAATTCATATTATGCTACTTAAAGGGTATAGCCAGGCGGATATACCTTTAAAATATTCTATTTTGGGGTATAGCCGCTCGGCTATACGGTTAAGATATTTTATTTTTAGAGCATAGCCGGACGGCTATACTGCTAAAATATTCTATTTTGGAGTATAGCCGCGCGGCGATAACGTTAAAATATTCTATTTTGTGGTATATCCGCGCGGCTATATTGTTAGAATATTCTAATTTTATATATATATATATATATATATATATTCTGTGAATGTTTGTACCATGCTGATACTGTTGTTCTCCCAACGATCATGTGGGTCTTCGTTGAGATCAGGCTCAATCTCCGCGAACCCATCTGCATTCAAACTAGTGAGCCTTTTCTTCCCCAAGTTTCTGACAGTTTGGAGGTTGTGAAACTCTAATCACCTGAGGAAATCCTAACCCTAGATTTCAATAGCTTGGAGCTGAGTTTGGGCACAACGCAGGGGCAGACGACTGCGACGGAGGAGCAAACCGCCATTTCTGGTTTATTATCTTCGTTTATATGGCCGTTGTGTGAGCCTCAAATGCGCGCTTCTTCTCTGAAATGGTAAGGAATGTTAAACTCACTCGCAGTGATCTTGAACCTTGAGAATGACTAATTATATTTTGCCACGTATTGACGAAGAAGGATTTCTCGGTATTTTATTGACATATGCGTGCACGGTGGCTCTCTCTGTTGGTCTTTGCAGAGTTTGCGTCACAGGAGGTAGTCTGATCATGATTTATGTGTGTATGTGCTTGTTGGGCTGCATATAATGGGTTTGCTTTGCTTTGTGGGCCATGCATTGGGTGACTATTTGGGTAGCGTCTAATAGCCTAGTCCAACAATGTTTCTTTTATTGATCTATTTCTATATATATAAAGCAAAAGGTAGAGAATTGTGAAACATTCAAAATACCAGAAAATGCCCTGGTTAATGCAAACATTAAGAATTGAAATTATTAATTAAATGAGGATAATATGGTAAGTTCACATTTTTTTCATATTAAAAAATTAAAAGAAAAAGAAAAATCAGATAATAGATCCTATTTTTATGGAACACAATTACCCATTATCTTTTTTAATTCTAAAATAAATTTAAAATTTTCTAAAAAAAGCCTCTCGCAGGTGCGGAAGCGCATGCAGAGAGGCTAGTATATATAAAGCAAATACAGAGAATGGTAAAACATTTAAAATACCAGAAAATGCACTTGATTAATGCAAATATTAATAATTAAAATTATTAATTAAATGAGGATAATATGGTAAATTCACACTTTTTCATATTAAAATCAAAAGAAAAATTAGATAATTGATCCTATTTTTATGGAACACAACTACCCATTATCTTTTTTAATTCTAAATGTCGCACTTCTCTTTGTTCACTCTATATTCTAAGTTCACCCCAACTTCTAATTCAAATTTTTACAATTTCTAAGAAAACCCCGCTATCTTCCCAAACTACCCCTTAATACACACCCATTAGAAAAAATAATAATTAAAAAACTCATCAACCTCACACCCCACACCCTGCTATCTTGCCCCTTACCACTCTAAGTTCACCTCAACCTCACATTACTTAAAAGATATATAAACACTTTTGTCAAATGTATAGCATCATTATTTTATTAATAATTTTTTTTAAAATTTTTATTGTCTTGTTCAACAAAGCAAACCCATGTGACAATTTCCAAATTATATATTAATCAAAGGCTTAGGCAGTCATTGTTTCTTTGCTTCGCAATCAAGGTCTGTTTTTTCCCCCTCCAATTTTGTTTCTTTGATTATTATTATGATTATTATTATTTCTGATTTGTTTGTTTGATTATTTCTGATTTTTTTCTTAGATTGAAAGGGAAGAGTAATTTGGCAATAGGGTGTAGAGGAGTTTGTGTTTTTTCTAAAATTTAATATGAAGAGTAACGGGGTGTATAGAGTGTGTGTATAGATGTACTAGGGTTAAGTATTAAGTTGGATGACCTTTTTTTTTATCTCTTTACACAATAATAAAATTTAAGAGCTTAATGATTTAAGTATTGGGGTGAACAAAGAAAAGTGTGGGGTTTAAATAGAAAAACTCTATAAAAATTGTACTGCAATTAACTTATAATTTATGAGAAATTATAGAATACTATGTTAGTATGGTCACGTGGTACATCTTGTACATGTGTTATAATATGGGTGGACGACACTGTTTATTTCCAGAGAAGATCTATTGTCCCTATTTTATGTGTTCCTCGATGTCCTTTCTATGTATTGTTGACACCTATATTTTGATTTAATACATTATTTATTCAGATTTCATCATTACGATTTTACCCTTCTCATTGGTTATATTTTTTTATAATAACTAAAATTGAATAAAGTAAAACAATTACTGGTCTGCCATCTCCAAATACCTTTGTCGTGTTTCCAACTCATTTTACACCATGAAAGATCCCAAACCTCTCATTTCCCCCTCACCTACAAGTGGCCGCCGTGCCTATTGCTCAACACACAGGAATTTCATATTGGGTGAAATAAAATAAATTTAAAAATAAATAAAAAAATCAAAGAAGCCCAATTTGACGAGTCATAGTAGCATCCTTCTGTTAAAAAATATCAACCTGCATTTGCTGTAGAAGTATATGTCGAAGTGGTGGCATGAAAGGAACTAGAGGTGTCAAACGGGACGGGCCGGCCCAGCACGGCACGAGCCCAGCCCGTTTAAATGAGGCACGGCACGGCACGAGCACGAATATTAATGGGCCGTGCTCGGCACGGCACAAAAACTTGGGCCGGGCCGGGATCAAGAAATAGGTCCAATGAATCGGGCCGGCCCATGGCCCAACATGGGCCGGGTTTGGCCCGAGCCCGTTTCAAGCACGGCCCATTTAGCTTCTTTTTTTTTTCTTCTCAAAAAGTAAAAATGCAATAATTTGACATCTAATGTCATTGTTTATATGTTTTAAAAATAAAATATTCATAAACATATATTTGATGTCTTTCATTTTAGGGAAATTACTTGGGTCCTTAGTTAATTAAACATATCAACTACAAATTAATTAAACAACATTGGACTTGATATCTAATAAATACATATGACATATACGTTTCTCCTATAATCAAAGCAAACATTTCTTCACATATAAAATAATAAGTTGTTTAAAGATGAAAAGTTCAAGTGGACTTTGTGGAGTTGGACATTTTTTACCCTCCGCCCCTTCATATTGTTTGGATGTTTGACTGATTAATGTTTTCAAATAGTTCATAATTTCTTGCCTCAAATGATATTTTTAATGTTTATAATTTGAATTATCTAGTGGAAAAAAAAATCAAGTGAAAAAAAATCAAATTAAATGGGTTGGTTCTTGGGCCCGAGTATGGCATGAGACCGACCCGGCCCGTTTGAATATGGACATGGGCTTTGGACCGGGCCGAGATCAATGATTTTATTAAATGGGCCGGCACGGCACAGCCCGATAAATTAAATGAATCGGCCCGGCACGGCACGAAAATGTTAAAAGCACGAGTTTAAATGGGACGGGCCAGCCCGGCATTGCCCGTTTGACACCTCTAAAAGGAACCCACAATTATCGTTAGGGCACACAACATTAGCAACTCTGGTCCAAGATGAAACATATGTGAGGAAAAGGGAGAGCAGAGAGATATGGCGGATCTGCCATGGGTGAGAGGATGAAAACGGCAGAATTGGGGATGGGCCACTTTCTTTAATTATTTTTGTAATAATTGTTTTAAGATTAGAAGGGTAAACTCGGGATGATAAAATGTGAATAAATGATGTGTTAAATCATAGGACAGGTGTCAGCACGAAAAAGAAGGGACACACAAAGTGGGTATAGCAGATCCGCTCCCGTTTATTTCCCCCTTTTTTGGGAATAGTATCAATAAATATCCACTTATTTTATAGGAAAATGCTAGGGAGACCAACTTTAGATACCAACTTGTGTACCATCTCTCTAATAGAGTGTGGGACCCATTGTATTGGCGGGCTCCGTCTCTACTAGAGGCCTTTGAGGATGAGTTCTATTTAGAATTTTCCTCTTCCTAAAATAGCCTCGCTAATTTTGAACCTAATTTCATCTTCGTACTAGAATCTATTTGATCTGCTTGGCTCGGTTGTAATTTTGTTTCTTTATAGGGATGTTTCGGGAATTGTATGGGTCTGACAAACCCACCTCTCATGGGCCAATCCCAAAACAGGCCTTGCAACTGGACCGAGCTGCTTCAATTCTAGGGTTTAAATCCAAAATGCCCTAAAACCCTGCTTCCTATTCCAAATTCCCAAATTCCCAAATTCTCAGAGAGCAAGCTAAAATGGCGTGGCGATCTGGGTCATCGCTATCAAGGTCTCTAATCTCAACAGCAAGAGCTGCAACAATCCGGTCATCTCCATCAATCTCGTCCCTACCTCGCTCTCCGCTTCATAATCTCCGGACCAGCTCGCGCCGTTCCCTCTTCTCCCTCCCAGTGAATGTGAGCCAATTAGCCTGCGCGCAATCGCTGATGCCATTGCACAGCGCACTAGCCTCGGCCCGGCTCACAAGCCACATTTCCGTCGAAGCACGCCATTGTTGCGAGCTGTCTCAGGGTACCTCCATTGATCCCTCGTAGTTTTTCTCTTTCTGCGGTGCGTCTTGTACGGGGAATTTTCAATTTCATCGTCTTTTTTTTGTCATTTGTGTGTTAGATTTATTGAACTGCAAGTGTAATGAGATGGAATTTCAATAGAAAAGAGAAAAAGATGGAAACTTTGAATACGTATGTGTGTGCAATGCACTGTTTGCTCAGCTGTCTGCTAGTGTGGTTTCTAATACTTGGCACTATAAGCTTGTTTGATAGGGAGGACTAGACATGCCTACATGATGTGCATTCAATGCATAATATGGATATTGTTGTCTAACTTGTAGGAGGATAGGGGACTATCTATAAGAGGTTGGTGAATAAGTTTTAGTCATCAACCTCTTATGACTAGTCCTCCTTAATCCTCCAAGTTAGCCAACAATATCCATGTTATGCCTTGAATGCACATGAAATGTAAGCATTTTGCTAGTCTAGTCTAGTCCTCCCTAACAAACGAGGAGCCTATATGTTATGTCAGGCATTTTGTTATTTTGGAACCCAATAACCATTTGATTGATTAGGGAGTTTCTATATTTTGAAATTAAAGTTCTCTCAGTTGGATTTAGCATTTGCATCTGCATGTCCTTATGGAGTGTGGTGGTGGTTAATGAGAAATATTCTCATATGTGTAACTCTTACTCCAATTAACAGAACTGGGACTGCTCTCTTTTCAACTGTCCCAAATGAATGCTTCTTGGGTTATTGTCTATTTAGTTTAGTAGTGTCTGCTTAGTTCTACATATCGACTTATCGGTCTTCTGGGTGTGTTGTAGGTACTTGAACATGCTTCTGTTGGATCAACACAGCAGCAGTTGTTGCTACATTAGGTGGGGTTCCGAGGGTGAAAGAATTTCCATACTCCTTATCTTTGATAAGGTGGGTGTAGGAAGTAATTTCAGATTGTAGGGGATAAGTTTACTTTCACAACTACTTTGTTCTTTCTCTTGTAAGCCATTTTACTTGTGTAGGCTTTTATGTTCAGAATTACAAGATCATACAACTATTTGTTAATCTGTCTGATCATGTTGTTTTACTGTTATTTGTTGCTATCTGACTCTGTGGATCCAAATCGAAATTTAATGCATGACATAAAGGGGTTCAATTTGTGTTCCCTCTAAGCTGCATCAGTTTTGCCTTATTCTTATATATTTTCACCGGCTTAGTGAATGAGAGAGTATACCCTCCCTAGAAGGGCGTCATGATTGCCCAAGTTATTTTTGGTACATCTCCTTAACCAAATGTCGAACCCTATTTACCAGTCTGGTTTGAATTTTGCTCAGAAATTTCTCCCTTCCCAATGTTTTCTTTTCTTCTTTACGGAGCTGAAGGTTTCTCAGTCTCTCGGGATTATGAACTAGTGTAGTTAAGATTGCATTTTTAAGTATGTGGTCTTGTATAGAAGAAGATCAATCTGGTTGCTCTATGTATGCAAGTAGGGAAAAGACCACAGTAGTGTGTGGCATACAGGGGATGATATGGGTATAAGTATATGCGTTAAGGAACGAAATCAGTGATTTATGCTACTGTCCTTCACATGTAGTGTTTGAAACGCACCAGGCACTCTGCCCCTCCGACACTGAAACCACTACGTGACCTGTCTCTTGTTTCACATGTTGCAACCGACATGAGTTTGCAATTTGGACGAATTGGAGGGCCAACTTTAGCTCAATATGAATTCAATCTAAGCTTGGAAGTATCCTTTTTAGCTGTCCCTCCAAGTTTCCAAAACAATATATACAGAATGAAAATCCTATAATCTCCAAATCATTAACCATTCGTAACACTCAGATTATAAGTATTTCAACTTTGTCTTCCACATTTGTGTATTCCGTCAAGATTGAATCTTACATTTTACAACTTATGTTTTCTGAAATAGAACATGACCAATATGACTTTAGATCATGACAGATTGTTCAAGGTCCAACATAATGAAGACAGGAATCGTCAAGACATTAGTTAAGTATTAGGTTAGGTCTTGGGTTCGATCTCAGACAATGCGTACACCTTGGAAGAAAAAATTATCAAAAGGGACATCATGTTTCTATCCTAGATAGGAACTAGATCCACAAGAACAAAGATTCATAGAGCATGTGGTCTTTTTCTTGGAGCAAAAAAGGGTCTTCATATTCTCATATCATAGAAATCAAGTTGTTCAACCAAATAATAGAGATTTCCCAATAAATTACCAGAGTAAGCCAAATAGAATATTAGAGCAGAGAATCTTGGGTTTAGTTTAAGAAGTCATATGTTGAGAATTACTACTTTAAAAGAGCCCGTCTTCCAACCAGGTCGGAGTTAACTTCAGCATCTCTTATGTTTGCGTCTCTGAAGAAGCGGAGTGGCATATTTTGCTCCTTTCTCTGTCGAATCAGCACTTGCTTGCTCAGCATCCATAAATCCATGTATAATTCATCTTGTTTGGATCTTTATCAACAACTGCTTTACTTTATGCCGGGATAAGATGGTGCCTCTTTGCATAATTTGCGTCATAATGCTCAATATGATACGATATTAGCCCTTGTCACAGAGCAAGATCAGTACCACTTTCCCTAAATATGCTTTGCATATTCCTTCTGTGATTCTTGGGGAAGAGATCAAGATGGAGAGGCGTTTTGTATGGAGGCCTTAGTTGTATATGTGGTGAGTTCAAAAGAAAGATTTGAAACGAAAATACCCCAATTCTGTTATTTTGACGGTTTGGTCTAGTTGCACTCAGTCTCCACTTTGTTGGAGAAGATCGTGAGTTCAAATCTCATGGACTCCACTTTGTTGGAGAAGATCGTGAATTCAAATCTCATGGACGACAGTTGTTGAATAGAGAATGAAAAAAAAAAACCTAATAAGCATTTGGTATTAACTAATAAAAAATTATTATTCTTTTGCTTGATGATTAAAAAGGGACAAGCCAAGACAGGAACCAAGAAGTAGTATGGACAAAACAAATCCAATCTCCAAGCACACACACATCTGACTCATCAATCCAATTCCACCACACCAAAAAATATTTTATCTCAATGAAGCTCTAGAATCACACCCTTGAGAAAACTGAGGCTTCTGTTTTGTTCTTATATTGTATTAAATGAAACTTCTTTTTATCAGAGCAGCAAGATTCTGATGTCTGAGAATAAAGCATATGTGGTTCTGGTTGCTCTTCTCCTATTGTACATACACATAGCCCACTACATCAAAAACAACCCACAATGATCCTCTTGTTTGAAAGAAACCCAATTGGGAAATAGACATCCCACCAATCTCACTTACTTTTTATCACCATTATTATTAAATGTCAGTTTGCTGGGTCCTCCAAACTCTTTATAAAGTAAGTTAAGCATGGCATCATAATGCAGAAATTATTAATAATAGCATCTTCAACGACTCCACTGTCCTCATTGGTGCATATCATGTATGTACTCATTGTGGGGATTAGTCTGTGTCTGTGTGTTCTCCTATGGTAACTATTAATGTATTGACTTTTTTCTCTTCTTTGTGATCATAGAAGGGAGAAGAACTTCTAAACAACGGAATGTCATTGTGTCTGTATTTCAAGCCATTGTGGTCGGATAACAGTCACGCACATGTGTCAAATTATAATTTGTCCGGAAGAAGGAATGTCCATTTTTTTTGGTATAAAGAAGTAGCCAAGTATTATCAGAGAGTGTTTTGCCCATAGCTAACAACATAACTCTCTGAAATTGGCCCACCTGTTCTCCCTCCTCTCTGGACAGAGGCCACATGTTAATCAATATTGGCCCTGTAACACTTACAATTTTCTTGCAGTTGACAGAACAATAAATAATCTCTCTCTGTGTAAGCTCTGAGTGTTAACATTAATATACATCTAACCTCTGGCAAGACCAGCATGACAGATCAAAGAAGCGGTCCAGCATACAAGTATATATATTGGAGGTTTTAAATCTGCAGTATGGGGTAAAAAAATACATATGGTTCTTGTTTGGGTTGGGAGTTGGGGACCATACATTATACATATATCAATCTAACTAGGAAGATTCATTTACTAGGGCACTTTTTGGACTTGTAGATAAGAATTTCAACTTGTCCATGTTCTCTCTCTAAGCAACGTTTATAAGGAAAAGTACTTTGGAAATGAGAAAGTTTAACTATACGCTTTTAATGGCATTTTCTCTAGAAAAGCCTATATGAAACGGGCCAATCATGGCAAGTGAAAAAGTTATCACATGGCATACTGTAATTGGCAGTTTCATGTAAGTGTTTCTCACCACTTTCGCAGCAGCTGCATTTTTTTCAGTGATTAAAAGTGTTATGTGATTAATTCATCCATATGGAATCATTGCCTACTTGATTGAAGAGGTGTGAAAGAAAAGATGAGCAAGGAACTAAGGAATCCTAAGCTTGAATGGCCACTACTGTTAGATGACATAAGCATTGGTCCCCTTAAAAGTTTCAAGCATCACAAGGTGGGAGCACCAGATAAATTGAGATAAAATATTTTAACAAGGACTGCCACTTTCCTCCCCCATTATCATTTCATATATGCCTTCGCTTCTTGGACTGTTGAAACATTAGCTTCCTTCTTTTATCCCCATCCCTTATTTAAGTACAACCTCCTTCATTTCTTCAACCCTCTCTCTCTCTCTCTCTCTCTCTCAAACTCTCCATTAATTCTACCTTTTCCCAAATTGAGCGTGTGTGTGTGTTTATTTTTGTTGCAATGATTTCCCAAAGGGAACAAGAAGAAGCAAATGAGATGGTGGAAAACAACCAAGATAGTGATAATGAGGAAGATGATAAGTTGGGAGATTGGTTGAGTTTAAGCCTCAACTCAAATGAGCCATCTGCAGCTGGAGACTGTGATCCTCTGTCACCAAAACCATCAACTAGCAGCAACAAGGTTTTCTCATGCAACTTTTGCCTGAGGAAATTCTATAGCTCACAGGCCTTGGGAGGTCATCAAAATGCACACAAAAGAGAAAGAGGAGCTGCCAAAAGGTACCAGTCTCACAGAATGATGATGTCATCAATGGGGTTTCCATTCAACCCTGTCGCTGCAGCAAGGTCACTGGGCGTCCAGCCTCACTCACTTGTGCAGAAGCCAAGCAGATCAGATGGGTCTTCAATGGTTGCAAGATTTAGTGACCCCAGCACAGGTTTTGGGATGGCATGGACACCGTTTATGCTTGAAGAAACCATGGATTTGATTTGGCCAGGAAGTTTTCGTGTGGACAAATTTCCAACACAAGAATCAGATGTACATAATAAGCAGCTGGACTTAAATCTTCGGCTGTGATTCTAAAATCTGATCCTAGTGTTTGTATTTCAATCTAAATTCATCTTCTTTTTTTTCTTTTTTTTCTTTTTAAATCTCATCTAAATAATACAAACAATAACACTTTGGTGCATGAACTTTAATCATTAACTTTAGTTGATGGGACTTGCTGTTGTTCATACTTTATACTATGGTGTGATGTAGTGCTATAACGCCAAACTTTCAACTGTACTTCGAAAAATAATTCAGTTTCTGCTTTTTGTGAAAAGAAAGGTTGCCAATTTGTGCAGTTTAGCTCTGTAGGTACAAATTCTATTTGAAGTGGCAACAAAAATTTGAGTTGTCCTTTTCGCCAATGTAATCTCAGGACCATAATAATTGGTTTTTTCGGGGCATGCTTAGGATTGATAAATGTCTAAAAGCGCTTTTTGATAATCGGAATCGCTTCTGAAAGTATTTGAAAAAAAAATGCTTTTGGACCATAAACACGCTTTATTAAAAAGCACCTTGTATGAGTTCAGGCTTATTGAGGAAGCACTTTCAAATACTTTTTCAAGAAGTCCTTGAATTTTTAATAAAAGTTTCAACATAAAAACGTTTCTAACAAAAACAAAAGGGTAAACAAACAAGCCAAAAGGCCCGTCGAACATTCCTAGGCCTCACAAAATTTTGAAGCAGAACAATCATAATCGTGCTTAGGTCTGTGGCCTATCGTCTCAAAGCCCAGTTGAAAATTCCTAAGCCTCAACAAAATTTTGAATTATCCATTCTGAGCATTTACTGAATTGGGCCTTCATTGGGTTTGTCAGGTCAGCTGGCAGCCAGCCATTATTTTGTTATTGAAGAAACCTAGGACACTGTCCAAGCTACATTTTGAACCCAACATGCCCGCGCGCACTTCATGGTGAAGGGCTACATCAATGGAGTCCCCTCTCCTCTAGACTTTCGTACTCAACGAACCACTTTAATGGTAATAGCTTGATAGTAGCATTTTCCTCCGTTTCAAGTAACTTTCACTCGTCTATCAAAATCCATAATATAATACCGATCATTTTCATCTATCCTATAAGTCGTCAGTCACTTCCGTGGAGCTTGAACTAGTTAAGCGGTGAAACCATGCTCTAGTTCTAATTGATACAAGCCCGTGAATAGAACTTGCCCCTACAAAACCGACTTTAAAAGAACAAAGCTACTTCTCCAATGTAAAATATTTAGTGTTCTGACTTGGTGAAGAATAGATGAACAAGAACATGCTTTGATGTAACATGATTTGACCTCCAAATAAGTTTAGAATATTGTTATTGCTTATTTTATTCATTACAGTAAAACTCCATTAAAAAAATGCTTCACTAAACAATGTCTCGGATTCCCACCAAATAGATGTATTGTACGAAGCTTTTAGTTGCCAATAATTTAAAGTCAGCAAATAATTAGATGGCATGCACAATCACAAGCAAAATGGAATCCATTAGCCTATGCTACGATGATATGATTTTCTATACTCTCTAGCAGCAGGCCCAGCAGCCATGTGAGCTTAGACAAAGCTCCTCATTTGTATGAGCACCATCTTCCAAGAATGATATGCAATGGCCCAGCTGGATTTATGCTACAAAAGCCATGTCACACCAAAATTTGAGAACTCATGAGTGCCCCAAGACCTTGACCAAGATCGATGTTCGGTGCCAAATGCCATTAAAATAATATGACCAGTCAGCCTATAACCATGGATATGTAGCTTAGCCAACATCTTTGCCCACCAACCCTCTCCTTGTTTAATTCTAACCACATAACTAGGTTGGGATTTGGGGACAGCTAATCATGTGGCCTTGGCCAATGGCTAGAAGAAGAAAAAAAAACCAATTAGGCCACTAAGACTTTGGTTAATATTGTATGAATTAGTCTTCTGGGACATAGTTTTGCGTTTCATGTTGGTCTTCTACAAGACATGGCTCAATATTTTTAGACATTTTCGAAAGAATTTTGATCTATAGACTAGTTATCTGTCAAAGTCTACAAATGGGTCCAACTAGAATTGGATTAATCTTTCATTTTTAACCGGCCGGAGTCTATCCACCACAACCCAAGTAGTAACCCTACCAAACCTTTTTTTTTTTGTTGGTGAAAACTTTGATAGCAACTCAGAATGCAGATTGGCCCCAAAGAGAATCAAAGCAAAGATGATTGGCTACTAGTAATGAGAAATTTAAGGTCCAAGTTCGAGTAATCTCTATAGATCGTGACCTAAGTTTGAAGAGCATGCGTTAAGGAATTAGTTTTTTCTCTGAAAATATATGTTCTGACCCCACATGTTCTAGGCGTGCAATGAAGAATCTAGAAATGAAGAAATAAGGGATATTCTAATGATGTGCCTGTGATGATGTTTGAATATGACTTTAGAATTCCCTTCAATTTTAATTTTGTTGTAAGCCCTAATGAACAACATGTTGTCTCTTTCAAAAACCTTATATGCGTTCACCAATTGAAGTGATGAGTGGCAAAAGATGTAGTTGAGTATACCTGCAAAAACAAGATGATCACTACCCAGAAGTGAAATAAGTTTTCATGAAATTGAAAGGCTTAGCTTCAGATCACTGTAGTCTTTACTAAAATTTCATTCAAGTACAAATAGGATATGAATTTGAGGCAGAGGAGAAAATCTTTCTTTTCATGTTCATAAAATATATATTGTTAAATTTCATATTAGACGGGTCATCGGTCTACTACTAGCAATGCTGATATTGTCTCCAACTTGACCACCTACAAAGCTCAGTATGCGTAGGATTTTATCACAAAAGGCCTCTGTATTATTAGCTAGGATTTTATCAGTATGCATAGACCATATATATATATATCGTTTCTCTCACATACGTAAAATTTTTGTGGAAATTACGGGTCCATAATGTAATAATTTTGTTTTCAAATGAAAATGAGTCTTACACATACATATGTATGGCACATCATATCTCACTATAACAATACAATACCCCAAAATAATATAAAAATAGAACATATAAAAGAACTGAAGATGGGTTGTGATGGATAGTGTCATAACCCATTCTGGTCTGACTGGATTTTGCAGATAATAAATTTTAAAATTATGATTTCTACTGATGGTAGAGAAGAGATAAAATAGGTGATGGGTAAGCAAACACCAAATAAATCTATAAAAAGGGGAAGAAGTGTAGATCGTGAACAATATGTCAGAGACATATATGGGGATGATTGATGTCTCTCCAAAACAAGAACTGCATGCATATAACTGATGATGTTTGAATTGATGTTTGTTGTTCACATTCATTCCAAAACGACCTGCACAATTCTCTTTTGCTGAAACAAGTATTTCATGGACATCATCAAAAGTTTTACGACTTTCCCTACCAGCTATATTGACCCAAAATAGAAAATGCAGAGAACCAAGGCAAACGTGCATCTCTCATTTTTCTTCTTTTCTTTCGCCTAGAAAGCTGCATATTATTTGGACCATAGATATGATCGCACCCATGAAACATCACACATATTTTCAGCATGTTTTTAAATTATTTGTTGATTATTCTGGTATGGTAAGATATTGGTCTCCTCTGAGCATTGACCTCTTCTTCTTCGGATTGGATTACTTGTTGGAATTTTATAACGTTAACCATCTTGACCACGTTTTATGTTTCTTTGGAGGTGATGAAAGGAGGAAAGTCAATTATTTGGAAAATTAAGGGGTGGACCGTTTCTTGTGCTGTAACATTTCGGGACAAGAGTTAGGCCAAATGGATTTTTACTCCAATTTTTAAGCATCAGTAAAACCTAATTCGTTGAATATTAATAAGTTAGGGTTGGGATGAGGATGAGTCAAACATGCCTTCTTATTATGTCCAAGACTCCCAAGTCGTTGCATTGGGTAGTTGTTGACCGGTCAATGTCCATAAAATCTGTTTTCATAAATATCTATTCTTTTGTTTACCTTTTCTATTGAGGGAGACGATAATGCATTAAACTCATACACATAACACGGATACTAAGACTCGAATTCAGGACTTTGCATAGGAGAGCAATTACTCCAAATCACTACACTAGTGGGTTCTTTGCATAAATGTCTAATATTTGTTTAACCCTTTCTCTCTCTTTTTTAAATTGATCCATTTTAAATATCCTCTAAATATTATAATGAATAATATTATCTAGATTATGTGAAATTGAATTATTATTTATCACAATAATAAACTTCCTATTAAGTTTAAACCAAGGCTCCCAAAAGAATAACAACATAACTACTCTCTTGAAAAAAATAATTCCAAGAATACAACAGCCACAAAGTATAGACATGTGATTATCTGGAATTAAATATAATTGAAAATGTACAAGAAGAAATAACTCATGTATATTCTAACCAATATATTTTATTTTTACAATGTGACATTTGGTTCATCACAATCCACCAGGATATTTAAACCGCCATGCTCTTCAGCCCAATCCCATTAAACCGGCTTGCAAGGGCGAGATCTCTAAGAAATCATATTAATCTAAAATCTCTTACTTTATTTTTTAATATAAGTGATAGTCTAAATTACAAGGGAGGGAAATTTCTCATACATACACACAACTATGATATTGTGGGAATTCGAACATAAGACTTCTGGACTGTAAGTCAAAGCCCTTTTTCATTGGACCAGACCCTTGTTAGCAAACTTTCATACTTTTAAATGTGAAACATGGGAATATCATAGCATAATGTTTGTGCAACAAACAAAAATAGAGAGAAATTTCCAACGGTCAACATTAATGTTGAAATAAAATAATAATAAAAAGACTCACTATCTTTTTTGGGCCATGTAGGCATTTAATTTCCTTATTACAAAAGTGGGACTTATCTTTCCCATATGTAAGATTTAACAGACTCATTCAAGGTTTGATTAACGGATGTGTTGATGTAGGTTTTTCGTGAATTTATATATGAGTTAGTAGGGTCTTCGAAAATTGTGTGTCAACTTAAAATCGACCCTAAAGTTTTGGTGTTTAATTTCCTTAACCAATTTTTATTTATTTATTATATAATTATGAGTAATGCTATTTGGACACACAACATTGACACACTTAATGACACATGCTGATGTGTCAATGTATCATTTGCTCTTCTTTTCTCCTCGTTTTCTGTTCAGCGA